TCGGGAGCCCCGGGAGCCCCTCCGAGGGCAGCGTCCTCAGGCCTGCCCGGAGCAGGCCAGTAAGTGGGTCCTTCTGCAAATACGCTGCAAGTATAAATACACACTGACCGTGTCCTGGCTTGAATCCCGTCCCCCCGACATTCATTTCCACTGAGGACCTCAGAATGTGACCTTATTGAGAAATGAGGTCTTCGCAGATGTGATTAGTTAGGGTAAGATGAGGTCATATCACATTAGGGTGGGCCCTTAAGTCAGTCTCACTGGTGCCCTTATAAGAAGAGAGGAGCTAGAGACAGAGACACCCAGAGAAGGCCATGTCATGACAGAGGCAGGGATAGGAGGGACGTGGCCGCGAGCCAAGAGCCATCAAGGAGCGCCAGCAGCACCAGGAGCTTGGAACACCACGAGCAAGGAGGCATCATGGCCCTCCCGACACCCTGTTTTTGCACTTCATTCAGGCCTCTAGAGCTATGAGATAATACATTTCGGGGGCGCCTGCGTGGCTCAGTCAGTTAAGCGTCCGACTTTGGCTCGGGTCATGATCTCACGGTTCGTGGGTTCGAGCCCTGTGTCGGGCTCTGTGCTGACAACTCAGAGCCTGGATCCTGTTTCCGATTCTATGTCTCCCTCTCTCTCTGACCCTCCTCTGCTCATGATGTCTCTCTCTCTCTCTCTCTCTCAAAAATAAATAAAACATTAAAAAAAAAAAAACATTTTGGCTGGGTTAAGCCACCCAGTTTGTGGTAATTCATTACAGCAGCTCTGACAAACTCTTACAAACCAGAAGTGAAGATGGGGCGCCTGGGTGGCTCAGTCGGTTAAGCGTCTGACTTTGGCTCAGATCATGATCTGGCAGTTTGTGAGTTTGAGCCCCCCATCGGGCTCTGTGCTGACAGCTCAGAGCCTGGAGCCTGCTTCGAATCCTATGTCTCCGTCTCTCTCTGCTCCTCCCCAGCTTGCACTCTCTCTCTCTCTCTCAAACATAAATAAACACTAAAAAAAAATAAAAATAAAAATAAACAAAATTAAAAACAAAAACAAACCAGGAGTGAAGAGAAACTGATTTTCCATGGGCTCAACCTTGTATACCTCTTTGTTTATGCTCAAAGCAAAGGATCATTTTGTGCCCCGAGCAGAGGTTAACATCTAGCCTCGCTGGAAAATTCTCTCCTTTGCCGTTTTTCCCATTGCCCACAGTGAGATGCTACGAGGCAGAGCGGCTCCAGAGCGCTGGGAGAATTTCCAGAGGTCCACGCGTGGGCTCAGAAAGCAAGTAGACAGATCCCTTCCCCTCCTGACAAGCCCAAGCCTGGCTGCACAAAATAGAATTCAGAGAGAAGGACTTGCGTCCACTCGCTTATTTGCTCAATATTTACTGGATTTCTGTATGAATCAGGCACCATGCAAGATGCCAGCAACGATGGTGGCGATGATGAAGTCTGCTAATAGTTCATCAAGAGCTTTTTACGTGCCAGGCACCGTTCAGGCACTTTACATGTATTAACTCATATATTAACTCATTATTTCACTTCATATATTAACTCATATATTAACTCATATATTTCTCACAGTGACCCTAGGAGTTAACTCTATTATACTCTATTATAATGTGGTTTGTGTTTTCTGTGTTTTTGTTTGTTTGTTTTGTTTTTTGTTACTTTATCATATTTTATGTTTTTAGAGAAAGAGTGAGAGTGAGCAGAGGAGGGGCGGGGGGGGGGGGCGGGAGAGTATTAAGCAGGCTCCACGCTCAGCGCCCAGCCTGACTTGGTCAGGCTTGATTGCAGGATTCTGAGATCATGACCTGAGCCGAAATCAAGAGTCAGATGCTTAACTGATTGAGCCACCCAGGCGCCTCTGTTTGTTGATTTTTGTTTTGTCTTGTTTTTTTCTTTCCTTTGATGAGGAGGCTGAGGCAGGAAATCAAAGCACTTGCCCAGGGGTGTAGAGCTTGTGAGGCAAGGAGGGTGGGGAAAGCTATCCTTTTGTTCCCCAACAACATTTGCAGAATTATTCAGCCAGGAACTTGATAAATAAATGCTTAAAAATAAAGGGAAGGGGACAGAAGGATGTGGGGGGGTGTGTGTTGACACCTAGTTAGAGTAGTTCGGTGGAGGAAGCGGGAAGAAAGAAAGGATGGGTCACAAAGTGCAGGGAATGTGTCCTCCTTGATTAGAACGTTCCGGAAGAGAGGGAGATGGGGATTCTGGAGAATAGAGAGGGGGGTCCGGGACTGGAGCTGGGGAGGCTGGCTTTTCAGGGACATTTCCTCATCTTAACAGGAAGGAAATACGGTGCCCTGGAGTCAGGCTTATAAATTGTGGTGAGAAGTTCTGATGGCATCTCTCATACATGCAGGTGGAGGAGACGGAGGTGCAGGGATGTGGGGTAACTAACGGCACAGGTGTCACAGCCCCTACGTATGGGAAGCAGGTATCATTCTCCTGAACTCCAGCTTTCTCGGGTCTCTCTCAACCCTGAGTACCAACACATGTCAAGAAAGAGGGTGGGGGAAAAAAGAGGGTGGGGAATCGATGAGCCCGAAAGTCCTTCTGGTCCAGATATTCTGTGATAAATTTAAGGTGTTGCTAAATAGAAATTTCCAGAGGACATTCATCCAGAAGCCCTAATCTCATCCTGTGATGGATTTACAGCCCACACACATTTACAAGGCAAATCTAATTCTATTGCTGACCAGCGAGAAAAAGAAATAATTTAAACAGCTCAACTCACTTGCACCCACATTTGGCTCCAAGGGTTTCTGCTGCCTCAGCTGGTCCGGGCTGGGGGGTGCAGGGGTGCGGGCAGCTCTGGATCCTCAGGCGTGCTCTGTAGGGTGGGCATCTTTAATCCCGCGTGCATCTGGGCTGGAGCCAAAGTCGGGCTTTCCTATCTTGTGGCCACCTTGGGGGAGCTGGCTGTGTCAGCTCTGTGGGAAAGGGAGTGTGGGGTCCAGGGGCACCTTCTCCAAGCACATTTGGACTCTGCAATTACCTCCTTGTGACCTCGCTTTCGAATGCCTCAGCTCTCCAACCTCCGACTCCACTGTTCCACTTCTTCTCCTCTCTGTCTCTGGCACCTTCCCTCCCCTGTCCCTGAATTCGTTCTCTGCTCATTGCCTTCTGGAAAGCTGGGGTTTCCTGTACACAACTCTGGGGCTTCTGGCTGCAGGTCTGGGTGGCTCTGTGGGCTCTGTCCCCAAAGACTTCCTCAAAGGCACAGGAAATGTCTTCTTTTGGCGAAATGCCCTCCTTCAGCCCACACACTAGCGTTTTAATGTGTTAGTGAAGGAGTAGGCAGCCTCCTCCATAGTTTTGAACTTGACTCTGTATCTTTGGCAGGTAACAAACTATAGATGCTCGATAAATGTTTGTTGAAAGCCAAAACGGAGGGGGTAAGGCAAAACAGATGTGCATGAGTGGCGTAAAAGACTGCTGGATCTGGGAAGGTCTTCAACGAGCAGGGGGGATTTGGAGGAAGCAAATTTTTGGTCACTACGGTATCGCCAGTGTCTAAGCCAGTGCCTGGACATAGTAGGTGCTTGATCCAGGTACCGATTGAATGGGCTCAGTGTAGCCTTCTTGTTGTATGGATGGGGAAACAGAGCCTCGGTCCCCTCAGCCATGCCTCTGAGGGTGAGAACTTTGCCTTTTCGGTCCTTTTCCCACTGACTAAGCACAGAACCTGGCTCATTGCAGTGGCAATATTTGTGGGATAACAGGATAAGTAAATGTCAGGGTGCGTGGAGGCAAACGGGATGTGCAGGGAGCCAGGTCCCTTGGCTGAAGCAAAGCACGGGCAGGTGGAGGGAATGGGTTTATCAGCAGCCAGAAGACAAAAGGCGGTGGGGAGGTGACCGTAGCCTGCAAATACAAGTGCTGACAGGGGCTTGGGGACAGTGACAGGGTCTTCCTTTACTTATAAAATGATGCTCTTCCCGCCCAGTGGTTCTCACCTGGCTGTACCTTAGAACTACCTCGAGGAGCTCCCTAATGTTCTGCTTAATCTGGTTGAGGATGGGGCCCTGGCACGCACCTTTCAAAAAAACAAAAAACAAAAAAACCCAAGTCCCTCCGCGGACTCTAATATGCAGTGTGGGTTGAGAACACAGAGACCGTCTTTAAACAGAAACGAGGTACCAGAGAAGGACAGCTAAGCGTGGAAAGGGTGCTCGGGGTCAAGTACTGGGAGGCAGAAGAGGAAGGGGTAAGGACCCTCCCAGCCATGGCTCCCAGGGGAGGGGAGAAGGCCAAGGGCAGTGAAACTACTAAGGCCGGTGGGCTTAGGACTGGGGAGGGGCAGAGGTAGGGGCTGCGCCCAGAAGGTCGGATGGAGTGAACCTGATGGATGAGATTCAGTGGGAGCGAGGGTCTCAGCCAAGCAACACGAGGGACCCTTCCCCAGCGGGGAGCTGGTCTCCGGGAAGCCAAGGGGGCAGCCTCGGGAAGGCAGTTAACTGGGGCTCGGAGCTGAGATCTTGAGACTCGGAGGAAGTGGGAAGTAGCCCACAAGGGATGTCAGGGCGTGGCGCAACGGGGCTCAGCAGAAGAAACTCGGAGACACAGATGGGGCCGTTTGGTCACACGGAGACACACCGGAAATCCACACGCACACGCACGAGTGTGCACGTGCCCGCGCGCGAGCACACAAACGCCTCCCCCCGGGGCACACGCTCCAGCTGCACACGCGGAGGGCCTGGCTTTCCGGGCGAGAGAGGCGCCGGCCGAGCCGAACCGCAGCCCGTGCTCGGAGGCCCCTCCCCGCCGCGCCCCTACAAAGGCTTGCGCAACAGGCAGCGGTTCGGGCGGGCGCCCGGCGCGCTCTGCCCCGGCCCAGCCCGGCCCGGCTCACTGGCGGGAGCGGGAGGAGCGCCGCGGGAGGAGGGAGCGGAGAGGGGTGTGTCCCCGCGGTGTGCGGGCTCCGGAGGGGCGGGGCGGGGCGAGCGTGGGGCGGGGCCGCGGCGCCTATAAAATCGCTCTCCGCTCGGGCATAAACAAACCTCGCCTGGCTCGCAGCTCCGAGTCTCGGGCGCACGCCCATCGTCACCGCTGTCCTCCGCGCCCCCTTGGCCGCCGCGCCTCCAGCCGAGCTCCGGCGCCTCTTGCCTTTCTCCTTGTAGCGTGGGTAAGCCCGGCACCCTCTTCCTGCGGGGCAGGGAGGCGTCGATCGCCCATGGGTGCTGCTGCAGCTTCTAGACCGCCCTTTGTGGCCCCGGAGCGGCCAAGTGCGTGGCGACCCTGCGGCGCGGGCGCAAGAAGGGGCTTTGGGGCGCGGCCGCCGCTCCAGTGGGGGGGGGGGTTCGATTAGCGAAGAGGAGGAAGAAAAGACAGGTTCCCGCTCTCCTTTCCCCAGCTGGGAGAGTGGGATCCTGAGGCTCGGGGACGGGTGGAGAGCTGGCCGGGAAGCACCTTGATCGCTTCCCAAAGGCACCCCGGAGTCACAGCGGGCGCCGCGGGCCCTGGGGCGCGCTGGAAGTGGGAGCCGGAGGAGGCCCGGGAGAGTGCGCGTGTGTGCACGCGCGCGCGTGTGTGTGTTGGGGTGGGGTGTGTCCTCGGAGTGGGGTGTCTGGGGAAGGAGGGTTTGAGCGCGCGTGTGTGGAAAGGAGGTTGGTAGGGAGAGCTGCGAGCTGAGGCTGGAAAAAGGGGCGTGGGTGTGTCTGGTTTCCAGACTGAGCCCTGAACCGATTTGCATCTGAGGGGCGGGGGCCGATTCCGCCTGGAAGCCAGGGTGGGGTGTGTGTGCGGCGGTGGGGCGGGGGGGGGGGGTCCGGGTGTATCGCGGCGCGTGCCTACGCGGGGGAGCCCGTGTCCGCCAGCGCCGCTGGGTAGGGTGCGCACCGCGAGGTGGCCCGGGGTTGGCGCTGTGGCGGCGCGGAAGAGGCGGCCTGCTCCACAGGGGTCGTGTGGGCAAGTGGCGCCCGGCGCTGGCCAGGGCTGCGAGTGGCGTCATTTTCGCCTCCGCCCACCTCCCCCGCTCGCCTGGTCTCCCAGCCTCCGGGACCCGCCTCTCTGGCCCTCCGCGGGGAAGAACAGCTGGAATTGCTCCGATGTTCCTAGGAGATCCGCGGTCCCTGATTCAGCCGAGGAAGGGGGGAGGGGGGACGGGGACATGAGGCGTGTGTCGGGCCTGGTGCAACCGCTCCGTCACCGCCTCTGTCACTTTGGTGACTGAAGCTGGGATTTAGTGGATCTTTTCCTTACCCTCCGCCCCCCCCCGGGACTCTCCCGTCTGTCGCCTCTGCAGTCAGATGTCCCTGTGGGTCAGCGGCAGCACCCATCTGTGGCTGGGAAGGGGGAGGTGCCTGGCAGCCAGGGGGGGGGAGGGCCCAGGCTCAGCTCTTCACGGAGGTCCTGGGCGCTTCCTTTAAGTTCCCAGGGAAAGATTGAAGGTTCAGAGAGTTCAGCCCGTGGCCACACTGGAGAGTTTTATTCTCTTCATCACGTCCGTCCATCATACTTAATGTTCTCCTCTAATGAACAAGGTATCTAAATACAAAACTGTGTTCTTGCTGTGGAAAGGCAATGTCAAGGCCAACCCGCCAGCCGTGCCTCCTGTACAGAAATCCTGCGTCTGTACTGACTTTCACTAATGTGAGTTGAAATTAGCAAGTACAGAGAGTGCAGACCCGGCACCTGCCTGCCAAGGGGCTCACCCATTCCCGTTCCGGGGGCAAGTGCAGGTAAAGGAGGGGGGGAGTGCTGGTGTGGCATGTGGCACAGGGGTGGGGGTCCCGGGAGGAGGGGCAAGTAGAGGTGATCAGGAAGGGGTGGGGAACTGCCAGAGAGACCTGCCCTGGTATAAGGAGTCACATCTATAAAGTCCCCTCACCTGTGACTTCTTAGTTTTGTGGGACTTTGTCCCCGACAAGAGGCTGAGAAGGAAGGCTTTGCCTGCCTCTTCCTGTAACCTGGTACCTGTCCCAGGGCCTGGCACTTGAGAGAAGTTCAAATCCAAGCATTGAATGAATGGAATGGCTCCTTTCCTCTGCCCCATTCCCCTCTAATAGTCCCAAGCAGGCAGTTGACCTTTTGGGGTGGCCGTGTTCGATTTGGCTTTTCAGAGAGACCTCGGAGCACCAGTTGGGGTCTCCTCTCCCCAGAGGGAGACCTGGAGCGACATGCACATTCAGGATTACTACCTGTTGGTTTGATAATTTAGTATGGAATTAAAAACCCACACAAGGTCCTAATCCAACTTCTTCCCACTTTACAGATGGGAAACTGAGGCCCAGAGATGGGGTATGACTTGTCAAGGCTTAGCCAGAGCTGGAGCTTGACCCTCCAGACCCCTCTGGTTGGGATTGAAGGTAGCGAAAGGGGTTCTTGGTCTTGATGTCTGCTCCTCTGCTATGAGACGGGCAAAAATAAATAGGATCCTCACGGAATTTCTGGTGCAGAAACTTTCTAGGCAGAACGTGGACGTCATTTATTTATTTTGTGTAAATCAGATGTTCTTGAGAGCTTAGCAGAATCAGAATAGGGAGCAGGGGGTGCAGCCTTGCTTAGAGGTGATGGACTGGATTCTGGCGGCGCCTCCAGGTGGGACCTTAGATCTGAACAGAGCTGGGGGCTCTCCCCCTGCCCCCTGCCCCCCCAGGCTCATGAAACTTCCTGGCCTGAGCTTGCCTGGGCATGGATGGGGAAGAAAGATCGCATTGTGTTTTTCTGGTGGCCTGAAGCTGCACTTCTTCCTTGGGACCCAGCTCTGGAGAATCCCATCCAAGGCATGACTCAAAGTCTCTGCGCCTTGGAAAAAGGAAGCCAGGGTGATGACTCAGCATCTAAGACTCCAGTGGGGAGGAGGCCTGACTCAGGCTGGGAGGGGGTAGGGGGGCAGGGCTCTCTCTCCTAGTCAGCCACTGCCGCATCCCTGCTTCCCCTCTCATCCCTGGGAGAGCTCTGCCTGAGCTGTGTTGGCTCCATTGAGTAGACCTGAGAAATGAGGCTCAGAGTTTAAGGGACATGGCCCCCTGGACAAGAGTGGGAGCGCCAAGCTTTGGGCCCAGAGAGTCAGACTCCAAGCCTTCCTTCTTTTTCATGACTGCATGTCGGGGTGACTAGAAAAAGCTGGGATGATATGTCCAGAGATGCAGACAGGAGCTCCCTGCCTCAGTTTCCCCTCTGGTAATGTGGGAGTGACAGACACCGTCTCATGGAGACATGTAAATATTAATTGAGTTAATCCACGTGAAGAGCTGGGCGTAGTGCCGAGTGTGTGGGGACACTGTGCAGGTGTTTGGTGACTATGATTCTCACAAATTACATTTCTTAAGGCATTCTCTTGGCAATCAGTGTCAGGGGCTTTTGTCCTAAGCTTACCCAGGCCAGTGAAACTGCCTGCAAGTGCTGAACTCATGGTTTGCTCTTGAAGTTCTTCCAAAAGTAACTAAGCTTCTGCAGACTGCATAAAGATGAGACCCTTGTCCGAAATGCAGATTCCCAGGCCCTGCAAGTCTGGGAGGGGCCAGGAATCTGCACCATGTCAGAGTTCCCTGCCCTGGGCTAGAGGTAGGGTATGCTGAAGGCAGCCAGTGTTGAGAAATCTGCCCCAGAATGATGGGCGAGAGGAAAAGGAAAGGAGAGGCCACGTATCCCATACTCCTGTGTCAGCAGGCCGCGGTGTTCCGTAAACGACTCTTACCTGGCTAAGGTGCCTTGTGGTTTCAATGTATCACCTCATTTGGTTGAAAGATAGGGAGACATTCTTGCCATTTCTCAGGTCAGAAAACTGAGGGTTGGGCTGGTGACTTGTGTGTCTAGAATCTAGTGAGAGGGGTCCTATTACAGGTGAGCCTCCCTGGACCTTTCCCTCCAGTGTTGACCTTTCCCACCCAGACCCTCCTGGACCTGTCTTTGAAGCCACGTACTTGGCTTCCTGGATTTATTTCGTGCTGCCCTTCCTACCTCCCTGATCTCAGCCTGGTCCCAGGCCTGCCTTTCTACTTGCTCCTTCTGTTCCCATCTGGAGACCAGAGGCGGATGGAAGGCAGTGTCTGCTGCAGAGCTGGAGTTGAGTTTCCTGATCCTCTCTTGGGCTCCTCCCACACCAGCCCAGGCTTCTTGGAGGTGGGTGTGCAGAGGGACTGGGGGACTTTGGTTGTGTGTGGAGCCCAGCTCTGCAGGGGTGTGTTGTGAGAGATGAGGCATGCTCCCCTTATAGAACGGAACAGATTACAAATTCAGGTCCACAAAGGGACCTTTCTGTGATCCAATCTTTGACTTGCCGTCTAATGTTTACTGAAGACCTGCCTACCTCCTACCTGCCCAGGCTCTGCCTTCTAGGCTTTTCCAGTCCTAACAGGGTGTTCCTCCAACTGAGCTGATAGGAGATGAGGCTCATTAGCTGTCTGGGGGCCTTGAATGGCCTGCTCAGGAGTTCATCTTGTGCTTTATTGTCGTTCTTCTCTTAAATCTATGGAAGCCTCAGTATAAGTGGGGATTTTTACACCTGTGTGCAGCTCTGCTTCAAGAGATGGGTGGGGATCAGGGCTCCATCCAGCTGCCCATCTAATCCTAGCTTTACTTCCTTGGCTTTGAGAAGATTCTGGGCACCCCCCAAATGTGGGTATGAGCGTCAATCTTAAGAGGTAGTCAATTCTGCAGACTCCCAGCTGGGAACCCTGTCTTCCTCTCCTCTCTCTTTCTAAGCATTGAACTTGCCTCCTTTCTCCAGAATGCCTTTTCTGGCTTTCCCCTCCAGGCTGGCATGCTGGGGTGTGTGCCCTCCTTGGATCATTTTGGGCTGAGTCTCTACTTACCCTCTTCCCGTAGACCTAGTAGGCACTCAATTAATGTTGGTCAGAAGAAACCCTCCATTAAGGAAATAACTTGGGTCGTCTTGTGTAGGAAAGATTGGAAGGCCATCCAGAGCGTAGAAGCTGCAAGACCATTTCGGGGAGGAATCCTGTCTGTGTGGCAATCACGGCATCTCTGGGACAAAGGGTTTTGTAGGAAGAATCTGTGTCCATGCCCTGTGCTAACGTTGGCTCCATGTGTGTACATTCAACAAATTATCTCACGGACCATCCAATGCAGCTTGTCCCGCAGATTTGAGAGGAAATCCTGGAACCCCCCTAGTGTTCTCCTTGGACTTTCCATTGTTCTGCTTGTCCCCACAGACAGTCT